GTCTGTCCCACATAACGACGGCCACAAGATAAAGGAATGCGGTACACCACCCCCACAGCACAAGGCACATACTTATTCCTATGGTTTACGGCACATTTCTTTACATCTGGCTTGTCCTTCTTGTCTAGCTGCTTTGACACCAATGCACATATCTTACCCAATTTATTGGGTGCCCTAAAAACGACATCAACTCCGTAGCGAGAACCAACATATTTTAACCCATGTGCCAGTTTATGGATATAAGGAATTGCTGCGAACTTCATTTTTTCCTGATTGATTTTCCTAGCTGCACGTACTTTTAAACCACCAATTAACTTATCGCAAACAGCCACAATTATGTTAGGGGGGAATCCTGCTTCCTCTAGTCTTGCAACTTGCTTAGCAAAACCAGAACCCAACACATGCCTGCACGATTTTTCTAGAGCGGATTTAAGGCAGGTGAAAGCAATGCCCCTCTTTACCACCTTTGAGTGGACTGATCCAAAATCAAGAATTGGTTTCACTGATCGTGGCTCAAAACAACAGCAAATATGGGAACTCTGAAACCGAAGTTTAAGATCGAGAAATTGTAGACAGTCGGATTCTGGAACCTCCGATGTGAAGGACAAACCCATGCCTTCTGTCCTGAACACCTTCAACACATTGGAAACATTATCCGGGAACGTGGCATTCTTTATAACAACTAAAAAATCGTCCACATATAGGAAAATACGCATCACAGTTCCGCTTTGGATTGTGTCTACAATGCAATCTATTTTGGCTAAAAAAATTTCACAAAGGACAGGTGCAACGCACGAACCTATACAAACTCCTGAACGCTGGATTAGGGTCTTCCCTCGCCAACCAATGTACGTAGACTTTAGGTAAAAATCTAGTAATTCAGTGAACGATTCTACAGATATACCACTACTACTTCTGAAACGAAGCTCATCATTGTCTTCCTTGATGCATTCCTGAACGCACACTAGGAGCTTATGATGCCGTCTTTTTGTGCGCCGCTTTCCTTTTAATAGTTTATTTGGCAGTTGAATTCACAGTTTTTCGGACTATCTCAAAAGGTGAGAAATTTCAGTGATCAATGCTAATGAGACTCTCTGTTTTATCTGAAAAAACGGCACCCTACGTGTGGATTTAACGTCAGTCATTAGGTGTTAGATTATTTGGAAGAATAGGAAAAGCGGAGAGGCTAACCAGACGAATTTATGTTCAGTCTACACGCTACAGGTGTGAGAAATGAGGGTGTAATATGGAAAACAATGAAATAGGCCACTGCTGCTGCTCACAGACGCAGGAGGAGTGTTGTTAAGTAAAGCACAGCCTTCGGTTGAGGTGCATGACTTTTGGGTCTTGACATTCCTTTGTAAAAACCTTAGGAACAAAAACTGCATGTTCTTGGAAAGGCAATTTTGCGGCTGAATAGCATGAAATATATGTCTTTAGGAGCTTTTCTGAAGAGCAATCTTCTTAACCAAACTTTTCGGGTGTCATGTTAGCTATATCAGTATACAGTGCAAGGGCGTTTGATGTCATATTTTCACGCTTTTTACTTATACTTAAAAAAGAGAGAGTGAGTGTGTGTGTGTGTGTGTGTGTGTGCAGCGTCCGCACACGCACCTGTTAGCTGCAAACTAACTGTGCTGTATCTAGTTTCAGTGATAGCATTGGTGTGTACGTGTCTGCTTGTTGGCTTCTGTACCTGTCCGTGCGTGTTGACGGCCGTCCAGAATGAACTCTTAAGCTGCATTGAACAAGGTGGGGGACTATACTGAATGAAGCATTTTGGGCTAAATTTACAGGACATGTTTCAATTGTTTCGTGGGCTCAAATTACAGCTCAGAGGTTTTATGCATTTTCCATGTGACTCTTCGCACCCGTAACAGTGTTTAACAATGCCAGACTGCTCTTATTTATTCTACTAAAACTATAAAACTTACCTTTAGATTTTAGCGCAAATTTTAAGGTGGGGTAAAATTCTAGTCATACTTTCAGTGTTATTCATAGATTTTGTGACATTCTTTTGTCTCCATCTTTTTTTTATTTATTTACAGATACTGCAGGCCCTACCCGGGCCCATGCAGAAGTGGGATACAAACAAAACATTCAAGCAATAACTAGTAAGACACTGGAGTACAGGGCATAAATGAAAGAATACATAACTATCAAGTACAGAAAAGTCAAATATATTTTCTCGCTGTTCAACAGAACTCCGCACAACTAAGAATATTTTCAACATTTGTAGCCGGATGAATTGCACTCAAATGACACTATTTTCAGCATACATCACTTATATGGTGAAATTATTCTTTTCTATCTGTTGAGTGAATGAAGCCGTCGAGGGAGCATTCACTACTTCCGCAGGTAATGCGTTCCAATGAAAAAATGCGCGAGGAAAGAGAGCGAACTTGTGGGCATTAATGTGGCTGGGTGGCTGCCTAAACGTTTTGTTGTGATTTATCCTAGCTGAAAGTTTAGAAGGCTGCAGAAGGAATCGTTCCCGTGATAATTTAAAGTCCCCGTGATCAAGTTGATAGACGAATTTTAATCTGGATATTATCCTGCGCTGTTTTAGTATTTGTAGGCTTGCCCTATTACGTAGATTAGTTACACTATGTTGTCGGGAGTAAGCGGAATATATAAAGCGCAGAGCTAAATTTTGGACCCTTTCTATTTTCTTAATCAGATATTGTTGCCAAGGGCTCCAAATAATGTCGGCATACTCCAATTTTGGTCGCACGAGTGCTTTATACGCTTTTAGTTTTAACGTGGGAGGAGTGTTACGCAGTTTTTTTTAAAAAAAGGATAATTTCTTCAGTGCACCCGAACACACATTTTCAACGTGCGTTTCCCAAGTGAGGTTACTGGTAAGTGTAACTCCCAGATATTTAACCCGATCAGCTCTCGTGATTGCAGCATTTCCTATGAAATACGTGCAATGAAGGGGTAACGGTTTGTTGGTAAACGTGACGGAATTTGTTTTTGAACGATTTATTTTTAGTCTCCACCTTATACTTCATTCTTTAATTGAGCGCAAGGAATCATTAAGTTTAATTTGGTCTTCTTGGTTATTTATGGATGTGTACACTACGCAGTCCGCAAATAGTTTAATCTGGATCGATGGCTCGACACAAAAACAAATATCATTAATATAAACCAAAAAAAGAAGAGGTCCGAGGACTGAGCCCTGCGGAACTCCCGAATGCACTGCCAACTCTTTAGAGAGACAGCCATTTATGGTAACACACTGTCTTCTGTTACTCAAGTAGCTCGCGATCCATGCTACAACCTTCTGCTCAATGCCTATAGCAAATAATTTTGTTATTAAGTTCTGATTGGGTAGGACGTCAAAGGCCTTAGAAAAATCCAAAAAGATGGCATCGGTTTGACCTTTCAAATAAAGCGTTCTAATTAAATCATCAGTTATTTCAGCCAGTTGGGTGATGATCGACAAACCAGACCTAAATCCATGCTGCTGGGCATACAGTAGTTTGTTATTTTCTAAGTAAGTGATAATGGCCTTAAATATAATGTGCTCAAATAATTTACAGCAAGTACTAGTTAAGGAAACAGGCCTGTAATTGTTAACTTCCAAAGTGGAGCCCGATTTATGTACCAGAATTATTTTTTCGAGCGCCAGTCATCAGGAATAACTGCAGCGTCTAACGATGCAGTGTAAATGCGATGTAAATATTTTGCCACCCAAACAGCATATCTACTCAAAAAAGTATTAGATAGTTCGTCCGGACCAGGTGATTTCTTTACATCTAGTTTGTGTAAAAGGCAAAGGACTCCATCCTCAGTGATTTCCACTTCTGGCATAAGGCTATCAGAGTCATATGACCGCAACTGAGCATGCGTGGCTGCCCGTGTAAAAGCGGACTGGAAAAAGACATTAAATTTGTTGGCAATGGTAGTCGCGTCAACAATATTTTTTCCCGTGATCCTGATCTCTGAAATGCCTCGTTTATTTTTTGAGAGATGGCGCTGAAATTTTTGGGGTTCATTTTTCATGAATGACGGTAAAGTATCTGAAAAAAAGCTTTCCTTTGCCGATCGCGTTAGTTCTTGCAACTTACAAGTAAGGCTTGAAAAATCACTTGTGTTCCGACGCTTGCGCTGACGCTTAATTTTGCGTTTCAAATGAATCATTTCTCTCGTGAACCAAGGATATTCCCTATTAACTCGTTTCTTTTTTAACGGCACAAATTTTTGCTCGCAAAAAAGAACAATTTCTCTAACATTTGACCACATTTCATTGACATCATTAACTTGGCTAAAACAATCAAAGCGTGATTCCAAGTATTTTAAAATAGCGTTATCATCCGCATGAGTGTAATCTCTCACGAAAGTATCCGACGGTCTAGTAAATGAACGTGTTCCTCAAACAGGACATGACACAGCAAGCAACTTGTGATCGGATATTCCTTATTCTACATTGGCTGAACAACCTTGGAACGAGCTGCTAACCAGTGCCAAATCAAGGAAGGATGATGATGAACTGTCAACCCTGGTAGCCTCAGAAACTAGTTGTTGTAAGCAGAAGTTGAATGCAGTCGAAATCAGTATATCTGCACTTCGATATTCTTTGCCATCATAAGAAAAATCAGCCCAGTTTATACCCAGTAGGTTCAAATCTCCTGTCATTATAATCCGGGATCGAGAATTTGTATTATCTGCAAGGTAGTCTGGAATGGCTTCAAGTATTCGGGCGAAGAACTCGGTGGTCGATACACGCCCCCTAAAAGTATTCTTTTACCAAGAAATTTAATTCTGCACCACACGTTTTCGTGGTTGTTGATGCCGTCCAAAACAGTAAATGCGACGTTGTTTTTAATGGCGATTGCTACTCCTCCCCCACGTGACTCCCTATCTTTACGAATAAGCTTCTAAGAAGACGGTATGACTTCCGAATCTTGCACATCTGCATGTAGCCATGTCTCAGTGATTACTAACACGACATACTTAGTAACACACAGTACACCTTTGTAATCTAACCATTACAGATCAGTGTTCCTGAGGGTTTCGTCATCACTACGGCGGCGTATGAAAAATTCTCCAGGCATCCTGACGTCCAGTCAGCTGTGCACAGTCTTTCAAAAATCAAAAGGTGAGAAATAGGAAAATGGCAGCCATATTTGCGAAAAAAAAAATAACGCTAGGCCTGCGCAGAACGCGCAGCACTGTCACAGCGAAAGCTGGAAGAGCAGCCTTACAGAACCTTTTTCTAAACACTCATTGGGTAACTGCTACAGGCACACTTTGTGAACACCCGCCACGCCATAATTATTTATAATTTTTGTGTAGTAGGCCAGCATTCACTTTGCTATCTTTCGTCATTCTTCGAATAAGCTTGGTATCTGCTACACATTTCAAGCAATTTTGTTCTAACTTTTTTGCGCAGTGGCTGACGATTATGATGAATTCCGCCTGAAGTGTGTATGCAGCACAGTTTATAGACCAGGAACAAACTTTTGTAATGGGTTGGGGCATTGAACAACCCACTCGTTGCGCGATTCGCATTGTGGGACGACTGGTCATTCGTTAGCTTTCTCAAAATGCTCTGTTACTCATACGATCACGATTCCTTCACCGAAATCAAGTCTACCTAAGGAAAGCTTGCAACAAGGTTTAAGGTACCTGCACGGCTTTCCGTAGAATACTGGGCTCGCACGCAGAAATGTCAGGTTCGAATCGTAGTCCTTAGTGTTTTCATTTAGTAAGATGTTTTTCTTATTTCACGCGATAATCGTTACGGACAACGCTGGCGGACAACTAAGGCACTGCACGCGACCATTGTTGTGATCTCATAACAACTTTCGTTCTAAAAGTATCACTCCCAAGGCAGGAAACTACATAGCATAAGATGCGAAATTCGTAAATTTTAGGCGTACCTTGAGCAAACGTTTGCACTAGTGGAGTTTTGTTCTTCCGAGCTGTCACTGCCTACCCTATCGCAAGAGTACGCGCGTGTTTCTTGCCATATCCCTCAACACGAGAAAAGAGGAGTGAAGGCTAGCGTGCAAGCGGGGGTGAGAGAGGAGGTGGAGTCAGCTTGCCGAATAAAGCGAATCAAAAGGAACCCAAAAAGTGTTTATAAAGAAAAAAAAACGCTGAGGGGAGAGCCATTCGCGTCGGATGGGTAGAAAGGGTAGAGTTCAGCATATGCCCACACTTGTTATGACTTACCTGGTATAATTTTATTTCCTCTTTTTCTTATTCTAGTTTTGTTGTATACTTGATCATCTGGAATAAAAAGCGCAAATAATTATGCACACAAACGTTGCTAGTTATTTTCTAGTACCCCCGTTTTCTGGCTTTTCGCAAAGTACGGCCGTAGTTCCTATATTATTTGCGTATAGTTAAAATATAACAGGAATCTTTTAACTTACCATCGCGACAACATACACCATTGAATCTACCCTGCTATCGCATTAGCCTATATAATGACCATGATGTTAAACGTACAATTTCTCCTCCCATGTATAGGGTACAATCAAGTGATTGATTGGCTTAATACTTAGCTACACAAGCTTATGGATAAAGTGTTTTGTAACCAATCTTCGCTTGAATTTTATCACATAAACAAGCAATGATTATTACTGAAACAGACACTGTTTCCTTTCGCACTATTGATGCAAATCACTAACCAGCATTCAGGGTATTTCCCAACAGATACTTTGCACCACTTTGACAACCAATATAGGCGGGCGGCGACAGAAAATACGCCTTAGCCATTCGGCTCATTTCTTGCTGCTTTCTTGTTACCTCAATTCAAATAATAAATTTTCAGCCGTCGGAGCCAATGGCGTTCTGCATGCGGTATCAACACATGGTGACGGCTGCATGTTTTTATCGACTAAAATTGAATATGGTGCTCGCATTACACAACGGGAAGGACTAGTGGCCACGTGGCCGAGAATCGAAAACGGAGATTGGGAATTATTGCTCTATTGGGTGCCATTTTAGAGGCCACCTGTACGAGACTATTAACTGTAATTGACCGTAAACAAAAAGTGCTGAGAAAGTGCTACAGAAAGTGCCACAGAAAGTGCACGCATCCGGAAAGGCTCTGCACAATTCAACGTTCGAAATTGGATCTCAGTCAAATTAGTTTTTTTTTTTAAATCCTGTATGGAGACTGCGACCAGAAAATATCACCTGCTCAGATTCAGACATCGTGGGAAATACGATAGCGAAAGTAACTGCTCACATGCTTCAATCAAGTAACTCTGCTTTTCAGCGCACTCGTCTATTTTTATTGTCGCCATAAGCCGAGTTTTTCAAGTCTTTTTGAGAAAAGATGAGCAAGTCACAGGCAGAAAGTGTCATTACTGCTAGAGCGTTAAATAATTTGTAATACTGTGCAGAATCATTTTAATGTCAGTAATTTAAGCAATACTTTTTTGCAGACTAGTTGGTTCATACTTGAAAAATTGATTTGCTGCACAAACTTGAAGGAAAACAGGGGAGACAGGAAACAGCGCAGACAACCAACTGTTTATTGTCATTTTCTTAAAGCCAATATATACGCATGCTATGCTGCGCTTCCACGATGCGTACAAAACAAAAGATGCCGCAAACAAAGCCGTCCCAAAATAAGTCAATTCAAAAGTGACGGTCACTGTAATGGCAAACGCGAAAAAAGGCAAGTTACAAAAGTGATACCCACCACAACCTAAACTGCGTATTCCCAAGGTGTGCGCTCTGATTTCTTCTAAAACTTATCTTTAATTATTTTTTGTATTTTTATTGCACCAAGCATCAACAAACACGGAAAATATGAAAACGTACTCTAGAGGCTTTTGTTTAAAAAAACACCTAAAAAGCACTTAGCACCGAAAAAAAACTTTAAAATAACAACTTTATAGTCACTGCAAGCAGCCCCAAGTGAACAAATCGGAAGAAGCAGTACGCCGAGAGAGTAAAAATTATGATACCAAACATATAACTTTACAAAACATTACGTACCGTCGCACGGGAAATAAAACAGAAACACTCATGAACAAAACAAAAGAAGAGAAATGGAAGAGAACACAATGCAAGGCGTTACCCACAACATTACACATGACCATGTAGGAAGACCATTTCCCTGTCCGAAAGTGAAATTGAAGGCATGCTTATGCACTTTTCATCAAATTGCCTGATAAAGTACGCTTCGATAATCTCCCTTTCGGTCTTTTCACGTGCCTTAGCCATGACTGACGCATTCTCAAACCAGGGGGTGCAACCGCATGTGCTACAGGGGAAATCTAAGTGACCACCATTTTTTTCCTTTTGTAGCAAGACTGTGTTCGCGCAAGCGTTCGTTGAGGCAACGCCCCGTCTGCCCTATGTACACCCTCCCACACGACGAAGGAATCAGATATACAACAGCAAATACACACCTAATGAACACGTTCGCATGCTTTTTTGTGCATTTTGCCTTCTTCTGTCTAATCATTAACGAACAGATCTGACCTAACTTTGTAGGTGCTGAAAACAATAAATTAGCACCGTACCTATTAGCCAGTACTACTTTATGCGTCAACTCTATATTATTGCTTCAAGAAAATTAGTTAGAAACAGAATATAGTTTTTGTTCAAGAAATATACGTGTTTACAAAAATGTGTTCTGTTTGTACCCAAATGCAACTCATTTTATTTTTTAGTGTAAACGCATCTTGAGGGTTTCATGTAATTTTCAAAGGTGTCTCTAAGTTTTTCTCTCGACCACACATATTTTCGTCCCGCACGTTTCTGTTATTCTGTCGGGTTGGTGTGTTTGTCAAGGTACAGCGATTGCAGCTTTTACTTGGCTGTCCTTACCACGAAGGATGTTTTTCCCCTTCATGTTCTTCATCTTTGTTATAATTGTATCAATTATGGTGAGCTAAACGAAAACTGAAATTTTAAACATCAAGTTTTTCAATTCACATAACCTAAATGCCCTGGCCGGGCGTTACACTGAGGGGGGGGGGGGGCGGTTACAGTAAACGGGGTGACGGCGTGGTCACATTGGAACAAATATAGAGTTGGTAACCCCAGCATAAGAGAGCAAAAAACAATGAAACAAAACTACAAGTACACGGAAGCCCTGTCTTCAGTAACCAAAAAGGTCGTTGAACACAGCCAGGCAGCGAATTACTGTTTCACTTGTATGTGGTGCGTGAGGAAGCGTCCTATGCACACGTGATATGTACACACACCAACACCCGTAGCAAACAAGCAGTAGTATACAGTTAAGTTAGCAGCCAGTGACAATGGTAATAGGCGAGATGAAATACGTCACACACACACTTACCTGCACAAGGTGAACAGCCACTATTAAACTCCAGTAGTCAGCCGCAAATCCCGCAAACGCGTCGTCGTCGCAGTTACTTGTAACCTGGACTACGGGGTGCCACACTTGTCGATTACGATAACAGCGCAGTACACAGCGGAGAACGCATGGGAGAGTTTTTCACATGACAGGCTTCAGTTATTGCTGCACATGATTTGCTGTTTGCTAGCAATCAGGAGAACTGGTGCTGCATGCGCATATCAATTGTCTTTCAACGATAGCTGGGCTCGGCATTGCACGGCAGTTGTGTGATCCCCCTACACAATGTAAAAATATACCGTTAACACCAAGTACTCGGCCGCAAATCCCCGCAAATACCTGTATAACAGTTGCTAACACACGCGTGTGTTTACGTTTACTACTTATACCACCCATTGCATGAACTGGCTACTTATTTGATTAATTTTCTGACAGTCAGGGATCTTTTTATCTCTCGTTCACTTGGATTCAGGCCATTCGGCGCACTGACCACTGCTTGTCTCTAACCTCTATTTACGGATCTGTCCTTTCTTTATTTTTTGCTTTGCTTGAAAAAGAGGGGAACACACAATTACACGCACTGAGAATAACAGCTGCGGACATGAAGGACACAAGTCCACGTCCCCATACGTCGGCTCCAGCACAGCCCCTGTTTACGAATTTTGCTTTTCTTCAAACATGCTGGTTTTTCTAAGGGCAACAGATTATTTATGAAGGAAAAAACCTTTTCATAGCTTCGAATGACTTACACTGTACGCTCAGCACCACCCTTGCTTGGTAACTGAAACAACAGCACAGAAAACGCTATGACCATTAAACGCTGCTTTTTCACTCGCTATAAACCACACTAGTGAAATGCCTAGGCACTGGTTCCTTCCAAGATGATCAGATGAACAGCTGAGCAAACACTTTCGCAATGTCAGTTGCAGCATACTGCAACCTATTGTTCTGGAGCATATCATACGTGAACCAGAGTGTGTGTCGTGTTTCTGAAACACCTTCATTACGCGAGCCATCGCGTCTCTCAGTAGTCGCCCATATAACGAACAGCCTCGTATGCTAGACCAGGTGTGAATGGCCCATTTGACTCCGCCAAGAAATATTGTGCTCAGAATGACCGTCACGCAAGAACCAATAGATACGCCAAATCTCTGAGCGAAAACTTTCCCCTTCTGTGTAATGAACATGGTATCCGAGAGCGGGGCTAAGTGCTGCGCAGATCGCACTAATTTCATCGTGTTAGCGAATGTTTGTGTGTGTGACAAGTAAAACTGTCACTGTTACTCTCCTGATCACTTGGAAAACAGAGTCCTAATTCATTCAGGCAACTAAAGCCACGCAGTTCCTACAATGTGGAATGTTCAGCGTAAAATCGACACAAACTTCCGCGAATTTCGCCGCGCTGGCACAACTATACTGCATGCTGGACAGCCACTGCAGTTATGCAGTTCTGATGATTTTAATGGTCACCCTCTGTGTGTCGACCAAGATAGCATGCCGTGTCAGGCAACGTTCGAGTTGGTATGAAAAGTAACTGTTTTTATGAGACCATTGTGGATTTTATAAACTCAAACATGCACAGCATAGTTGCCAAACTTACGAGACCCTGGTTTCTAGGCCCCATGTCTATCACATCCTCCAATAACAGAAACAAACGCGACATTACGTAGTGCTGGTCAATCAAGCCATTTGCTGAAAGTTCTGGTCTAGTGCGGGATGGGTGAGCTGTTTCTTGAACTGAGTGCTACAGGGGAAGCCGGAGTCACCTGCTTCAGCGTTCGCGTTGGCGGGAGAACTTTGTTACCTTGGTGTAGGCTAGCCTTGAGTTGTTTGAACAGAAGGGGCTTGACCTTCGGCGTGAAACTACCGTCGTCTTACGGCACTGTCACGCCACCTGGAAGATAAGTTCTGATGCTGAAAAGTGCAATGTGGGACGCAACTGACGCAACCGGCGTCCATTGGCACACCCTGGTGGGCACCTGGCCCCGTCGTATATATTTCATAAACATTTCAAAATTGTGCAAGGCGTTTCGCTTCATCATCAATATTCGTGTGGTGGATCAGCTGCCGAATAGTTGCTGTAAGCTACTATATTTCAAACCTTTATACTTGCAATAAGAAACACGTCTATAGGAAACTGTATTCTGATACGTGGTTTACCTGCCTGACGCTAGGTTTCTTCCAAATCTATGTATGTCTTTTCCGTTAATTTCAAGTTCAGCGACTTTTTTGCACAGGAGTAGGAGGTGCTTTTGCATGTGGACATTACTAAACACGACTAAACATTGCTAAACATGTGGAAATTACTAAACTTTAATTACCTCCCAATTTTTCTCTTCACAGCTTCGCAGAATCAGATTCTATCGAGGCCTGCAACAAGTAAGTCAAGATAGAGCCGTTAAGTGTGTCCGTGCTTGACATGTCTCGTGCATTTAATAGGGTAGCCCGAGTGCTTGAGTCTGCTCCAATACCGGAAGAGGTACAGGCTGCCATCAGAAGGTCTTATGTGATGGTCTTTGGCAGGGCATCGCCTGACCTTCGCGTCGCCGTGAGGTCATCAGCTGTTGGTAAGTCTATTGCCATTGTGCGGTCGTCTGACCACAGCAAGCATGACTGCTACAACTAGCTCTTATTAACTGAGACACACTGGCTAGTATGGTTACAGTATGAAATGAGTTCACAGTTGGCGTTCTTTCCGTTATTTCGTTTCGTCCTTCTTGAATTAACTATTTCACCTTACAACTCATCTCTCTGCCAAATATTCCAACATCGCACACTATGGGATGATTGGCAACGTCGCTTGCACTACAGTACGAGTTTGACGTCTTCATCGCATTGTATATTAGGCGCGAGTAGCTAATGTTTCCGGTGGGGCACTTTGTCTGATAGCCGACGTGATAGTGGCTACGGAGCTCGCCTGATACCCGAAGGGTGTCAATTCGATGCTGGTCATGGCAGTCTGAATCTGTTGACGATATTCAGGAGATAATCTCAAATGTCTGCGTACTTACAGTTATTTGCACGGTAATGAGCCTCACTTGAATTGAATCGAATTGGTCTAACTTTGTTAGAACCCGGGCAATGCGGTCGGATCGTGGACCTGACATAATGTAATTATTCTAGGAGAGATCAAACATGCAAGTTCGGTCTGTGCTGTTGTTTTGCCTGAGTTTTTTATATCCTATCTAGATACATTCAAAGTTTTCGTAATGGACAGTTTTCTTTTCGAAAAGCACAACCAGCGTTCCACAAAAACATTTGACGGTTGTTGTGCGGGCATCCTGTTTTACGCACCGAATGTTTTTGCAGTTCATGGGCAAATTTATCTTGAACTATAAGAGTAGTGTGAAAGATATTTCTCGCTGAATCGATTACGCGCTACTGTGAAAAGTATGAAGGCGTTCTTTGCAGTGTCCTCGAAATAGAGAAAAATGCTTAAAAATTTTAATCTTGGCCCAATTGAGGAAGATTCCGAAATTTTATACACAATAGAGTGTTTTCTATTTCACGCAGACGCTTGAAGACGCTGGTAAATATACCAAAAGTAATTTTCAACATTTCTCTGAAAAAGTATTTGCTTGGAAAACAAGTTTGAGAACGCAAAAAAAAAAACGTTAAAAAGCACGTTTCCTAAAAAAAAAGTCATCTTGAAAAAAAAGATATGAAAAAAACCTCTGTTCTTAATTTTGACAGAAGCTTTTGTCTAAGAGCACTTGTCTCAGTCAGAACACTGTTTAAATATCATACGTGCTCATTTTTGTTGTCAATGTTATATAAGGATTTATAAGAGTTTCAATAATGAATGTAATCAGCGTGTTTTGTGCGTAAACCTACAGTTTCAATTATTTTGCTGTAGCAAAACTTTGCGCCACTCACTTACCTAGAGAGAAAATCTGTTAGGGTATTTCATTTGTGTCTTGCGTGTGCGGGGTCGGGCAGTCTGAGTTCTCGGGAGGGCTAAGGCGTACGCAGTTTGCAGTCTACAGCCTCGCATACAAGCCCCGGAAAAAAAGGTGGACGCGCCCGTTCAAGATATCAATCTCTTCTTCCTGATGAAATACCGGGTCTCCCTCATCACGGCTCTCACAGATAAAGAGAGCAGTTTAATTTTTTCTTGGGGCATGCAAAACAGGGCTAGTCAATACCGTCGTTTCAAAGATATCGTTAGCCTGTGGCAGCAGCTTCCACAGGCCTTCAAATGTTGTTTTGAAATGGTGCCAGTGTTTTTTTCTATACTTTACAGCATTTTAAAGTCCCTGTGTGAAATAATGCATACGCCAGGGCAGATCAAAATTGGCAAACTCTTTTTTTAAGTTTACCGAGTTGAAGTTTGTTTCCCATTTTTTTTCCTCTCGAGGACACCGCAAAAAACTTTATTCACAGCACCGGGAGAAAAAAATGTTCGCAAAAAAAGTGCGCAAAAACAGTATGGCCATGCTGCCATCTTCAAAAGTTTGTCCTCGCACACGTATAATAATTGCTGAAAATAAGTTATTCAGATTGGTTCGCATTCAGTGTGTTCACAATTACTGAAAAAAACAGACAAAAGCAAATTATAGAGCGCACATGCATGTCCGATCTCTCGTAAAATCACCCAAGAGCCCCAGATGACCGAAATTTTCCGGGCCGCCCAATACTACATCTCTCATAATAGTTGATTATTTTCTTACGTAGAACACTTGGTGATCTAGGTATTCATGAGAGTCGTGGCTACTATAGTTTCAGGCCGGGCGAACCACCCGGTCTCGTTTGCCGTTGCCTGCGCACGTGTGGCGGCCTGCTTCGTAGCGCTAAGAAGACAAAAGCATCGACTGCCGCACGGCAAATTACGCAGTGAAGAAAAATAATTGATGACGTAGACAATCTCACAGCGCAAAATACAGGTCACAACACTTGAATAAGCGCACACGGACAGCGCTGGGTTTCAAGTGAGGTTTGTTGCATATGACACAGGCACAAGAAAATAATTATGAGCCTAGAAAAGGAAAACAAGAAGTATCTCACTCTCTCTACTGCTTGAGCGACACGTGTAGAAATTGCAGTTGTTTGTCACTTAAGGTGTCACGATTGGCTGCTACACTTGTCTCCACAATTGTTTATTGAAGGCGTCTTCAGGATGACTTGTTCATGTTTCTCTGCCAGTATGTCATTCCTTGTTTTTAAATAGTGGCTTCCACTGATGCTGTGTGCAATGAGCAATCCAGCTTAATAATAAGCAATTTCGTGATCAAACGTTGCGTAAAAATAGTGTTCGATTCAACAGCACGCACGAATATTATATTGCCTTTGCCTTCACCCTAATACAAAGCACAACGTACACTCCTCGAACGCAGCAAAGCAAAAGAAGTGCCGCACGCAGTCGGTATACAGAAAGAGACGCATACACGTTGCCGCTGGCATTGCGCGCTGTGGCACACCACTCACGAAATGGGCTGTGACGGCTATGCTCCGAACTATCGTTGACCACGGGCCCTAGTTGTGAGGGCGTGGTGGCCTCTGGGTAGTAGAACCGCACATGATCACCAGACACTGCTCATTTTTTTAGCGTACGCAGCCGGAGCCATCACAAAGGTACAAGCAGCATCAAATGAAACACAAACTTCGGAGTGCGTGCCAAACCCATTACAAACGGTCAGGAGTGTGCCCTCCTGTCATCACTATAAACAAGTCTACTCCGCACATCCGTTCCTAGCAGCACTGTGCCTACCGTCCGATATTTTCCCCACTAATATTGCAAACAAGTAAAACAAAAAACAAAGGAAAATAAATGTGGAATGTTCAAAAGCACTCCACATGCCTTTGCTGACCCTGTGGTCGCCGTATATAGCTAGAACCCAAGAAAAATATTGCTTTTTGGGAGGATGGCGCAGTACAATCAAACCGGACGTCCGCACCTCTCATCGGTCATGACTGGACAGAGCGCACTATGCTTTGAAAATGCTTGGTCCACACACTCTGCGGTTCACGTTTCAGTTCACGCCGATATTACATGCGTGCCTCGAGGGTACCAAATCAACGCAGAAAGGCTGCAGACCTGCGATTCGCAAAGGGGTTGTCGGACAGGTGCGGAAACACGTGATAGCCGTGTGCCACTCGAGGGTAAAGAGTGTCATCCCGACGCACGCGCTTCTCGGATCACGCCGAAACTCGCGGCGCCGATTCCGCGCATAGCGCCACCACGAGAACACGTGAATCGCGATTGCTGTCACAACTCGTCGTCACAGGTGAACTCATAAGGTTAGGCATCACAAGAAAAGGCGAAACGGTCACGGAAAATAGATCGCGCGCACCTTGGATCCCCACAAGCCTCAAGAAATATTATGTGAACATCATTGTATTTGCTGTGGCTTTTTTTACAAAGTTGAATTACCCATAAAATGGTGGTGATTTTTCTGCAAAATAAAAAGTCCTGAAATAAAAACTCTGAACAGACTTTTTTCTTTCATTTCTAGAAATATAAAGGCATATATGTGTAAATTTATACGCGCTAAATTTTTAAAACTGAAGCTGCTAAGCAAAGCAAAACCGTCAAGATTTACCTGATTATTATATCAGTGTTTGAGAAAGCGCGCTATACTAGTGGGATCACAATTGACCCTTTTAGGCAATTGAAAAACAGGCATTATCAAGGCATCTCAACGACATGACTCCAATAGACCACGCGGTTTCAAGTGACCAGATTACTGAGTTGTAGCTTGTGTTGCCACTTTGTTGAGCGTAATAACAGTGTTTATGTGTAACAGTAAGGTATACGCAGAAAAAATAAGCCATGTTGAAGCACTTCGCACATTTAGCTGCTTTTGTTGCGGCATTTCTACGTAACTTCTTCTCTGGCGCCAAATCGTAGGAGAGGACTCCGAGGACATGTCATCCGCTGGTCAAATGGACACGTTTCTTGCCATCACTGGCGTGGACGAGGTGAGTGACGCTCCGACCTTCAGCTTTTTTTATATTTTTGAGGCTAATGGCCGCGATTACAATTAATCTTTCACCTTTGAGGTTGTTCACTGATGTTACACGAACGAAGACGTGTACAGTTATTTGGTGCTCATATACTATGACTTATTCTATATCTACGAGGTTTCGATGTTTTGTTTTAGGACATTACAACAGTTCTCATCCTTCTAATTACGTCGATGAGGCCAAACAAAACATTTTATGTATTTTTAAGCAATTTGTGCAAGGCTGGTGCTCACTAAAGCCGGTGGGCACCTACAGCTGATTCTGACGTGACCATCTTCTCATCTTCCGGCCCACTGCCATGATGTGCTAAACAAGACTATTAGGGGCCAGTACCCACTTCGGGATCTCTTTTTAACCAGTTATGCAAAGTGTCCAGCCTGTGATTGAGCACGTAATGGTTCATGGTGATGCTATTGTTTATCTGCGACACAGCTGGACGTAACAAGTCTGCCGTTAAATTTCAATATTGGGTGACAATTGACCAGTTTCTGCAGGGAAACTGAATTGTTCCTTTAACAGACACTCTCACGATGCATGTATACCTAATATATTGAACCAAAGGTAAGCATACGGCTTAACAAGTAATACAAAATAAGTACAATTATTTGTAGCGTGCAGCCAGTAATTTTGTTAAGTTGAATGAATATGTTACTACTCTAAGCCCATTAGAACAACATGGGAATGTAGGACACGTGGCAATCTTGAAAAATACCTAGCCAACTAATCGCTTCATGGCTTGGTAATGCTGCCTCTGTAAGGTTTGAAAATATGTGGAGAAATTCAAGAAGAACTTCTTGTTGGGCAAGTTAGTGCATGTCTGCGGTGTGTAACGTTGCGCTCTTTTTAGGTTTGCACTCTTTCCGTTTACGCCTTTTTACTTCCTGTGTTCATCCGACTGTATGCGCAACGTTACGTACCACAGACATGTGGAGAAATACTTCACATTTTTTTATTATAACCCCGTCGATCTACAGAGGCCAAGAAGAGCTTTATTGTGGTGGTTCAAGCATTTTTTTAAACCGCAAAGGTCTTCTTTCTTGCGTTCTTGCGTGCCCATCAAGTTGATTTAGTTTGACTTTTATTTAGGAGGCAATTTGGAGAAGAAGTTTCTTGGCTGTATAACTTAAAATTACTTTTGTTAGATTCTGTTATCCCATTTGCATGATCAAAGACATAGCGATCTGTGAGTTGCCGCTACCCAATACCACTGTTTTTAGTGAAAAAAAAATATTAGTTCATCAGGTCATTCTCCTCGGCTGATAAAGAAGCCAACGTTTCATTTTAAATATATCTTGCAGGTTATAAAGACAGTAGCCAAGTGCTGGTCTTCGCAGTTCACCCACATCGCATGTGGTTACAAACGGTCAGTCACCCTGTTCTGTTCTTTATTTTACTCCAACTGAAATTGTTTGTTCACCAAGTGTCCATGGGTTGAAATGAAATGGCATATTCAGAGAAAAAAGCTTGGTAGAAATTCATGGAAACGCAGGTGGTGAATATTATGCGGAACTTCTACCGGCGATTTTCCACACTTGAAAAAAATGAAACCAAAGAGAATATTTTAAAGGACAGCGGACGGGTGAGGAATACGTACGAAAATGGTGAAATCGCCTTTCTACAGCATATGTTTTGTAAGAAAAATACGTGCATATGAGGTGAGTAGCTTTATCACGCGTGCTATGACGCTGTATGAGCGCAAGGCAACTGTATGACTATGACCTTTATCGCTTCACGCTGATTGAAGCTTGTGCACTCGAGGGAAGGCAGTTTTCCTCCACATGCACGGTGCAACCATATTGATACCACGCTCAGGCCAGTAGAGCGAAACGAGCACAAAGGTAGCACCGTTCATTTGAAACAGCTCCCATTTCGAATCTCTTAGGGAAGGGACATATACCCCAAAGAATACTTCATAGGTGAGCAAGAAGTTTACTATGAGAGATATAGATGCTGGAACATTGCTGATGAAGATAAGAAGGTGCGCAAGTATATATGCCTAATGTTTTGGTTTGTCTTAGGGTAGGTTTGCAAGTAGACACAGAGAGTCCACTAAAAACTGGCGAGAGTGAACTTTTGGTCCTCATAGAAGAGTAAGCGTATTCAATTAAACTTGCACTGCTCTTAGAAGGTGTTGCCTATAAAAAACATTACCTGGTAATTAACACCAATCCTATATAAAGTAAACTGATTAAGAACGTTGAAAAAGCGTCACAGAAATAATGAAACGCAGAGCTGAATACATTTACAGAACGCAACAGGCATGCCTGTTGTTATAACGCAATCCTTGAGGGGCATTCCACAAAAGCAAATGCACACTCAAGCTTTCACCTTACGGGCGCTTGATAGTGTAATGTGGTCGTGACGTTAAAAAAGGCAAGAGTGTGCGATGAACAAATAAGCTTTTTATTCCCCAAGGCGAACTTGTTGTGGGACACTGAAAGTCCGATTACAGCGACACACACTGGCAACGATAACGGCGACAGAGGAATAACCATCGATATTTTGATCCATGGCCTGGTGCACGGGCATTCATGCATTTGAGCATTAGCACTGGTGGCGGCGATTGTTCTGGGATCAACTCAGCTGTTCGCGTTTACACGCACAAACCTAGCGTATGATGCCAAGATAATAGGGAATGCTTTCAAAAGAATTATCAGACAACGATGCCAAGAGAAGTAGAGAGCATGCTATTAAAAATATTTGTATTCGAATGCAGAAGAAACAAAAGTGGACGACAGATAACTCGGCACCGGCAGAAATTGAACCAGTGACCTTCTGCCGTTGCAAGTTATTTGCAGGGCGCAGGAGAGGATCCTGCCAGTGGCAACTTATGTTGCAGCTCAGTTTTATTTTTAGGGGAGAAGCTCCTTAGGGCGTGGGCTGTGCGTCCCCTGTAGCCTGTATGTAGCCACCTCTAGTTTAGTTCTTGCAGTGTTCACTAGATGGCGGTACCGTCCCCTCCTTAGGGCGTGGGCTGTGCGTCCCCTGTAGCCTGTATGTAGCCACCTCTACTTTAGTTCTTGCAGTGTTCACTAGATGGCGGTACCGTCCACATACATGACCTTGACGGATATTCAGACACCAATGGGAAGTTATTACTAGAACTTTGCGAGCAACATAGTCTGGAGGTAGTTAACACGGGGCCTAAATGTGACGGCCAGATCGCATGGGAAGTTGGAAACAAGCAATCAAGTATTGATTATTGTCTCATGACTGAAGGAATTTACCACAAACTGACAGAAATGAGGATAGACGAGGAAGGCATTAACAGCTTGGGTAGTGATCATAAACGAATAACATTACAAATGGGATACGAAACTAAAAATATGAGCATGGAATCAAAGTCTGGCAGCTCGTATTTAAATGACAAACAAATAATAAATATAGCCGCAAGAGTCGAGGAAGAAGTAGGCGAAATACCAGGCAAGGACTGGGAGTATAGGGAGCTGTTACATCTAATGACGAAGGAGATAGGGAAAGAGAAGAAAACCGTTTGCTGGAAAGGAAAAAGGAAGCCAAAAAGTTGGTGGAACAAGGAAATCCGGGAGGCGATCGAGAAGCGACGCGAAGCATCACGGGAGCATAGAAGGCAAAAAAGGAGAAGCGGCCGCAGGACGAAGTCAAAAAAATATGGGAAATATATTTGGAGAAAAAATCCCTTGTACAGAAATTGGTAGAGGCAAAAATTAAAGGTGAAAGTGAACGCTGGATGACAGAGATACACGAAAAAAAGGAGGCCGCGCCTAGGATTTTTTGGAGCCACATAAAGGCGCTAGGTAGGAAGTCTGTCACAACGCAACAACATATTCTAGATGAAGGAGGAAATCAATTGGAAGGGTACGAAGCGCTAGGTTACATCCAAAAGATAACAGCCGATTCGTTTCAAAAGAGCGTCCAGGGGATCTCCCCGGTGAGTAAAAGTGTGGCGGAGGAAGCAACAGAGGAAGAGCTAGTACTAGATAATTTCAACTGGAAAAAGGCCGAAGGAAAAATTCCAAAGCGCACTGCCGCGGGTTTAGATGGGATTCCCGTTAGCCTCATTAACGAACTAGGACATAACACTAAAGAAGCATTGTTAAAAGCAGTAGAAAAAAGCCTAAAGGACGGACAAATACCGGACAGTTGGCGACAAAGCAGAATGAACTTAATCTATAAAGGCAAGGGAGAAAAGGACAAGATTCGCTCGTATAGACCACTAACCATTACATCGGTACTATACAGGTTGGCGATGCAAGCAGTAAAAATGAAAATAGAAACATGGGCCGAACATAACGATATTTTGGGAGAACTTCAAAACGGATTTCGAGTCGACAGGCGGTTAGACGATAACCTGTTTGTTCTCACTCAGTGTATAGAAATATCTAAAATAGAGAATAGGCCCTTGTACGTGGCTTTTCTAGACATCACTGGGGCATACGACAACGTTAATCAGGAAATTTTGTGGGATATATTGAAAGGAATGGGCATGGGCGACGACTGTATACAGCTTTTGAGGGAGATATACCGAGAAAATACAGTTTGCATAGAGTGGGAAGGAATGCGTAGCAAAGAGAACGTTGAGGTTAGCAGGGGTCTGAGACAGGGATGTCCTTTGTCCCCACTGTTATTCATGCTGTACATGGTGAGTATGGAAAAAGCGCTAGAAGGTAGCAACATTGGTTTTAATCTGTCACACATACAGGGCGGCATGATGATTGAGCAGAAGCTTCCAGGTTTATTTTATGCGGACGATATCGTCTTATTTGCGGACAGTCGAGATGATATACAGCAGCTGGCGAATATATGCGGAAGGAAAGGTGAAGCTCTTGGACTAGGATTCAGTGTAACGAAGTGTGGTTTGATGGTATTCAATGATCCCTGTGATCAGACGGTGTCCATACAAGGCCAAGAAATACCGAGGGTAAGTGAATACAAGTACCTTGGAGTATGGGTAAATGAGAGTGATAGATACATGGAGGTACAGGAAAAAGCCTCGGCAGCAAAAGGAAAGAGGAATGCGGCAATAATGAAGCACAGAGCGTTGTGGGGATACAATAGGTATGAGGTGCTTCGAGGTCTGTGGAAGGGTTGTAATGGTTCCAGGGCTTACTTTTGGGAACTCAGTGGTGTGCATGAGGGCAGAGGTGCAATCGGGAATGGATGTAAATCGGCGAAGTTGTTGCGGGACACTGAAAGTCCGATTAGCCCCGCCGCGGTGGTCTAGTGGCTAAGGTACTCGGCTGCTGACCCGCAGGTCGCGGGTTCGATTCCCGGCTGCGGCGGCTGCATTTCCGATGGAGGCGGAAATGTTGTAGGCCCGTGTACTCAGATTTGGGTTAACGTTAAAGAACCCCAGGTGGTCAAAATTTCCGGAGCCCTCCACTACGGCGTCTCTCATAATCAAATGGTGGTTTTGGGACGTTAAACCCCACAAATCAATCATGAAAGTCCGATTACAGCGACACACACTGGCAACGATAGCGGCGACACAGGAATAACCATCGATATATTGATCCGTGGCCAGGCGCACGGGCATTCATACATTTGAGCATTAGCACTGGTGGCCGCGATTGTTCTGGCATCAACTCAGCTGTTCGCGTTTACACGCACAAACCTAGCGTATGATGCCAACATAATCAGGAGTGCTTTCAAAAGAATTATTAGACAATGATGCCAAGAGAAGTAGACAGCATGCTATTAAAAATATTGGTATTCGATTGGAGAAGAAATAAAAGTGGACGACAGATAACTCGGCACCGGCAGAAATTTAACCAGTGACCTTCTGCCGTGGCAAGTTATTTGCAGGACGCAGGTGAGGATCTCGTCAGTGGCAACTTATATTACGGCTCAGTTTTATTTTTCTCATATGCATAACAACTGCATTAATAAAATCTTCAATATACTTTTATGGCATCATTTTCTTTTAGTTCAAAATATTACTGTGTTTACTTAAGCAAAACGAGCCCTTAAATTCAAAGTTACTACCTTAATTCATAGCCAGAAATTTTTTCAGACAAACTGGGACTATATCAGCAAGGAAGTATCTACACGGGCTATAGACCATCCTCAAATGAACTGCCTCATGGAGCGGCTCTACTGAACTTTTATAGATATGCTGCCATTGTACGCGTCGAAAGATCATCATGACTGGGAAATTGCTCTTCTTTACGTAGCAGTCGCAAACACTTCTTCTCCACACGCCACTGCCACATTTTCACCATTTCATCAGCAGTACACTCGTGAGCCCACTCTTCGAATTGGCAATATTCCGCCACTGATTTCGACCCGAACTAATGAAACCGGTTGCCACCCGAAGAAAAAATGACGAATCTGAAGTAGGAGGGAAAATTTCGATTACACATTTTTCGTCCATCGCTATGACTG